TCCCCACCGCGGAGTGGGTCTTGCTGAGGGTCATTAAAAGGAAGTGGCAGGAGCCCAGGTGGACGGGCCCCTATCAGGTTACAGAGCGAACGTCCCACGCAGTCCGCCTCAGAGGAAAGGGGGACGTTTGGTACCACTGGAGCCAGTGTGCGCCTGCCTCAGAGCCAGGAAGAGCGAGGGAGCTGGCAGAAACCATCTAAAGTCGTAAAACTGGACATTCATGTCTTGTAGACCGAAGCAGCCTGGTAAAGTTGCGTGCGGGCCCTGAAGGACTTTGTTTGAGTGGGTCACTGGGTGCTGGAAAATCCACATTTAATACAGACACCTAGATACGACAAAAACACGACATCTTAGAGTCTCACACTTCATGAAGAAAACTCAGAGACAATAGGAGGATCGGTCTCTGAGCACCCCAGGGTATGCCCTGAGTACTTGTGATTGTAACAATATTGTATGATATGTGTACTAACCATTTTTCTCTTATCTTTTAATTGCAGTCTTGATTTAGAGCGCATCCATTTATTTACTTAGCTTGAAAGTATTAAGTATATTCAGTTTGTAACGTTAAAAAGAAATACCTATAATCAATTATAAGCAGTATATTAACAGAGTGTTATTTTGTATTCATTTTGTGTTAAAGGAACGGCTTGACTGGCTGTCTGCTGTGGAGGTCGCTGTGCGAGACATCTTCATTAATTGAGTATAGTTTCAGTTTACAAGATCAAAATGCGGTGGTCATCAAAGTACGTTGTGATAGGGATAGGTGCTTTGTCATCCATAGTGTTGTCACTCATTTTCTCTTTTGAATATTTCTGCATCATTCCCGGTTTACCAGAGTGTGAGCAGACTGGTGAAACAGGCAGGGTAAGAAGGAGTGTGACACCACACACAGTCATGAAAGATGCGTATGGCCTTCCGGTGCTGAAAGTAGAGTATCCCAAAGACACCACCACGACCCTAAGCCTGCCAATCTGTGACATGTTTTATTGTACGGATTACCGTATTGCGAATGCAGCCTTTTATATTTGTCCATGTCCCAATCCATCCAAATGTTTCTGGTGTCCTGAGTGGAATTATGTCACGTTGTATTCGGGATCATGGAAACCTGATATGTCTGGACATCTGACTAATTACAGAGATTGGTGGAGGGCACATGCCACCTTGGCAAAAAATAACAGACACTTGTTATTGTCCTTTGAGTATGTTCGAACTTGGAATAAGTTAACCAGCACAAAGCGTGAGATGATCTACACCTTGGTGACGGAACCCATTTATGTGCTTGTAGCCGCGGATGTCACTGGCAAGGACCCTTTCCGGGTGTTACAACTTGCTCTTACAGAGTTGCCAGCCCAAGATCCTACTCCTCCTCCGACCCAGGAGTCATCGTTTCCAATGCCTATGCGAATTGATAGTGTTGACTATACCAGCTTAACCCCTGTGGATGTGATTGCTATGTCCACTGGCTATACTGACTCTAACATTTGGTTAGCTTGGCTCGCTGAGGCTGCTAGACAGGCTTCTTTGTCTGAGTGTGTAGCTTGTGCTGCAGCTAGACCAAATTTGTACACCCAGCCAGCTCCATTACACCTAGAGGACTCTGTGGGATTGTGTGCATTAGTACGCTTAGCTGCATCGTTAACCTTGATTGGCCCTCGTTTGGAAGTTTTAAATGACACCTCCATCTCTCCCATTAGGAAGAGACGTTCAACTCATAATTTTGACCCCACTGTGGGCTCGACTACTTATATTGATGCCATAGGAATCCCTAGGGGAGTTCCTGATGAGCACAAATTAGTAGATCAGATTGCGACAGGTTTTGAAAATTTACCTGTTGTTTCAGCATATTTCCCAATTACACCAAATAAAAATGTTGACCGAATAAATTACATACATTACAATGTCATGCGTCTGTCCAACCTTACCAGAGACGCTGTTGAGGGCTTAGCGGAGCAACTAGCTCCGACTTCTCTTATGGCTGTGCAAAACAGAATGGCGCTTGATATGCTTTTAGCTGAGAAAGGAGGTGTGTGTAGCATGTTTGGTGACTTGTGTTGTAGTTTTATTCCTAATAACACTGCCCCTGATGGAAAAGTGACCCGTGCACTTGAAGGTTTGAGAACGTTGTCTAATGAGATGAAATCTCACTCTGGTGTAGATAATCCTCTTGATGAATGGCTCTTCAAAGTGTTTGGCCCCTGGAAGCAGATGATTGTGTCCATGTTAATGTCCATTGCAGTATTTGCAGCTATTTTAATCACATGTGGATGTTGTTGTATTCCCTGTCTGAGATCTCTGTCAGTACGTCTTATCACTTCCACTTTAGAGAAGCGTGACCCTGAGATAGCTCGTCAGCTCCTAATGCGCAGAGGATATGAATTTACTGATTTTGAGATTCAACCACTTCGGCGCAGAGAAGCATATTCTTCAACTTGATGTCGACCTCTTTTTCTTTGAGGTCGAAAGGGGGAATTGTTGTGGAATAATATTTGTTCCTTTTAGAATCTGACTCCTAATTCTTATTTTATTTTGAAATTGACCCATTTCCTGTTTTACTTTGAAGAGGCTCTTCATTTCCTGTTTATATAATGTAACACGATGTAAACCACTTTTGCTACTGACCAATCAGAACGCAGACAGACTCAAAGCGCGCTAAAAAGTTAGTTATTCTGTGTGAAGGAACGCCCTGTTTTGCTGAGACAAAGAAAGTGAAGAGTCCTGTCCTGTGTGTGTGTGAGAGACAGACGCAGCAGCCAGCCAGGAGCAGTTTGGAGGAAAAAGATAAAAGCAGGTTGTATTGTTTCAGATTAAGAGATGCATCCATTTTAATATGATAAATAACGACTGCATTTAACTAACCCACTGTTTATACTTGTGAATCTGTGACAACATTATTACTTCTGAGTTACTTTACTTATTAAATATTCATAAACTTAAAGGTGCCATTGTCGTATTTAATGTGCAATGATTTGACTGAAATCTGCAGGATTGAAGCGGTTACTACAGAACTCGGGTGGAGAAATAAGAAAATCACAACAATAGTCGAACCTCAGATTCAGGAGGAGCAGTGTGGTTTTTATCCTGGCCGTGGAACACTGGACCAGCTCTACACTCTCAGCAAGGTCCTGGAGGGTGCGTGGGAGTTTGCCCAACCAGTCTACATGTGCTTTGAGGACTTGGAGAAGGCGTTCGACCGCGTCCCTCGGGGAACCCTGTGGGGGGTACTCTGGGAGTATGGGGTACCGGGCCCTTTGATACGGGCTGTTAGGTCGGGCTGTATGATTGGTGTCAGAGCCTGGTCCGCATCGCCGGCAGTAAGTCGGGCTTGTTCTGGTGAGAGTTGGACTCCGCCAAGGTTGCCCTTTGTCATGATTCTGTTCATAACTTTTATGTACAGAATTTCTAGGTGCAGCCAAGGTGTTCAGGGGATCCATTTTGGTGACCTTAGGATCACTTCTCTGCTTTTTGCAGATGATGTGGTCCTGTTGGCTTCATCAGATCGTGATCTACAGCTTTCGCTGGAGCGGTTCACAGCCGAGTGCAACACGACCGGGATGAAGATCAGTTCCTCCAAATCCGAGGCCATGGTCTTGAGCCGGAAAAGTGTAGAGTGCCCTCTCTGGGTCAGGGAGGAGGTCCTGCCCCAAGTGGAGGAGTTCAAGTATCTTGGGGTCTTGTTCACAAATGAGGGAAAAATGGAGCGTGAGATCGATAGGTGGATAGGTGCAGCGTCGGCAGTGAAGCAGGCGCTGTACAGGTCTGTCGTGGTGAAGAGAGAGCTGAGTCAAAAGATGAAGCTCTCAATTTACCAATCGATCTACGTTCCTACCCTCATCTATGGTCACGAGCTTTGGGTTGTTACCGAAAGAACGAGATCTCGGATACAAGAGGCTGAAATGAGTTTTCTCCGCAGGGTGTCTGGGCTCTCCCTTAGAGACAGGGTGAGAAGCTCGATCATCTGGGAGGGACTCGGAGTAGAGCCGCTGCTTCTCCACGTCGAGAGGAGCCAGTTGAGGTGGCTCGGGCATCTGGTTAGGATGCCTCCTGGACGCCTCCCTGGTGAGGTGTTCTGAACACGTCCCACCGGAAGGAGGCCCAGAGGAAGACCCAGGACACGCTGGAGGGACTATGTCTCTCAGCTGGCCCGGGAACGCCTCGAGATTCCCCCGGAGGAGCTGGACCAACTGTGGAGAGGGAAGTCTGGGCCTCTCTACTTAGGCTGCTACCCCCGCGACCCGACCCCGGATAAGTGGAAGAAAATGGATGGATGGGACACATATTGCAGGCAATGAGGGGTTCACGTCAGTGTCTTGCCCAGGGACACTTCAGAATGTGACTGCTGGTGGATTCGAACCCCCAACTCTTGCATTGGAGGACGACTGCTCTAACCACTCAGCCACAGAATTCATGCAAAATAAAGCCGAAGTTTTTTGGGGGCGGTAGCCCTCTGCGAAATTTCTTCAGCAAATTTCTAGTTGTTTCTTAAAACTAGGCGTCAGAAAATGCAAAACTGTTTTTGTTCAACTTCGCGATGAAGGAGCGGCGCTGTGATCAAAGACGCCGCTGCACCTTTAACGCGTTCCTCGTGAGCTCAGTCACGTGCCTGTCAAACGCCAATTGTCTCGCTCGCGCAGCCGTCGTTCCAAGTAGGAAGCAGCGAGGAGCTTCGCAATAAAGCGAACATTAAAGCGCCACGGTAAACACTGCATTTACCAGTAGGTGTATACAGTTACGTTAGAGCCTTTAGGTAAAGCGGCTACATGTTTTCAGTCGGGCAGCAGTGAGGGAGAACAAAGATCGGTAGCTGCTAGCTAACAGGCTAACAGGCTAACGATCAGCTGTTGTTGTTTTGGTCGGAGGAATCTGACAAGAAACTGCACAACATCACAGCAGGAACGGATACCAGGACAGACCAGGCCACTTTTTTTATTTTATTCACCGTCGACACGCTAAACCTGTGGTGTATGGCGACGTGTGACGCTTTGCCTCTCTGATAAACTCAGCTGTTTAACTCCGAGGAACCAGCGAGACGAGTTTCAAGATGCACGAAGCTTACGAGCCTGTGCCCATTTTAGAAAAGCTTCCTCTTCAGATCGACTGTTTTGCTGCTTGGGGTAGGTGAGCACTCTTCTGTCTGAAAGTGTCCTCAGACGTGTTTAACCTGGAGTTTATTCTTCCACAGAGGACTGGCTGCTTGTTGGGACAAAGCCCGGACATCTCCTCCTCTACAGAATAAAGAAAGATGCGGGTGAGAATAATTACATTTTCTGTGGCCATCTTTGAACACAAAGTTTGTTTCATGAAGTTTTCTCTTGTTCTTAGCCACCAACCGGTTTGAAGTGACTTTAGAAAAATCCAACAAAAACTTTTCAAAGAAAATACAGCAGGTGGGTGAAGAAATCAAATATTACACATCGATCAAACTGTTCTTGGTTAAGAAGTATGTGGAAGTCTGTGAGGGGAAGTAACGCAAAAACTTGTAAAGTTTTAGACTTCCTGTTTTATCATGTGGCGTTTTTACCTTTATAAAGGTGGTGGGGCACTATTTACTCTTTGTTTTAATTGACCTCTATGTCCAGCACAACATGCACTACATTTGTTAATGTCAGTATGTGAAAATAGAACAGGGCTATGACTGAGTGGACATTTGCACTCTTTACATGTCCAGCCTTCCTCCGTCCCAACACGGTCACCTCATGTCGCTAAAATGGTGACTACATCGGAGGTGGTAAAGTTAAGCAGATGCATTAACAGCTACATATCCACCTGCCGTGGGAGCATATAGAGACAAATAAGATCACGCGTTAGGGTTTTTGTCAAAAACCTCCCTGCATCGCCTCACCTGTGGAAGGCAGCTCATTTATCTGTGAATAACAGATTGCAATCCAGCAAAGCAATTAATCTGATTTACTACAGCATCCAGCATAAAACACTATTCAGTTCATCAAAGTTCATGCTCAATAATCCAGGTAAAAAAGGTTTGTGGCTCCTCGGATTGATGTCGGAACGTCTCAACCAAAAAAAAAAGAAACCGTCCAGATGACCTGACTGAACTTTGTTGGACTACTCGGTTCACTTTAATAACAGAATGAGAAATTCTGCTTCCAGTCACTTTGTACTTTTGTCACCTCATTTCTCTGCATTATATTTTTTACAAATGAATGTTCAGTAAACAATTATTGGGGGTGTCCCTGAAGGTAGTTAAATGTACTGTTACAAAATGAAAATTAAACGTTCATTACTGTGTTTGCAGGTAGACAAGTAGAAACCAAACGAACAGGAGCACTGACTAAACGTCTTTCTCCACCCACCCCGTGCATTGTTTTTGTCTCTGAAGCCTTGATCCACTTCCTGATCATGCAGTTGTGTGACTTACAACAACAGCTTATTACTTCCTTTGGACAAAAAAAATAAAACCATGTAAACTATAATAACAAGCCACTAAACATCTGGAATGCATTCATACATAATAATAAAGTCCAAAGCGAAAAAATAACATGGTCACAGAGAGACACATGCAGTGATCAGATGTGTAAAAACATGTAAATAAAATCTCTGCCGCCGTCACTAAATGTTTTTAATGCTCTCAGCAGGTGAACAATGCCGAGAAACAGTCAATGTACCGTATTTTCCGCCGTGCACGTCGCACCGCCCTATAAGTTGCATCAGTCCAAATACAGTATGTCCAATAAAGTGGAAACATTTCTAAATGCGTTGCGTCACCGCATAAGCTGCATCTATTATGCGTCACCGCTGACCTGGAAATGTGGGCCGGTGTTGTGCCAAAAATCAATTGCCTGCCAAATGGTGGCCACAGGAGTGTGCACGGGAATAACAAAAATTTAACAAGATTAACACTTAAAACAATTATTTGTTTGCTTAACATTATAGTAAAGGTGTGTGGCAGTCTAACGTTTATTTAATAAATGCACTTCAATGGTCAAATCAGCTGTATTTTAAAAGCTGATAACGCAGAAGTAGGTGTGCATTTCTTAGAAATTTAACAAGATTAACACCTAAAACAATTCTTTGTTTGCTCGACTTTATAGTAAAGGTGTGTCTCAGTAAATCAGCTGCATTTCTCCGGGGCAGTGCAGTGAAATGAAGATGATTTGACGGTTGCTCCAGGAGAGCTGGATGAAGGTGGCAGACTATGGCAAGCCAATTGTGTCATTAATAGCCACTTTTACATATTGCATGACACAACAGCATGCCATACTACTCGAGTGCCATCTAGTGGCTGAAAATGGTAGTGTTCAATCCAACATTTTTCAGTCGGGTCATCTGGACAGTTTCATTTTTTGTGCTGAAACGTTTCGCCTTTAATCCAGAAGGCTTCATCAGTCAAGGAAACGCGCAGCAAAACTGATTCTTCAGCTGTTGGAGAAAGAATCAGTTTTGTTGTGTGTTTCCTTGACTGATGAAGCCTTCCGGATCGAAGGCTAAACGTTTCAGCACAAACAAAAAAAACCGTCCAGATAACCTGACTGAAAAATGTTGGCTTTTATACCTGGATTATTGAGCGTGGACTTTGTTGGTAGAGTTCAATATTTTCAGTCAGAATGAATGTAAACGGTCATATCTCAGCCAAAAATTTGTTTATAAATATGGGAAAACATCCATAAATGTCACTTTGGCGTATAAGTCGTGGGGCATGTGACTTATGCAAAAATCTGCGACTTTTAGGTAGAAAAATACGGTACATCAAATATGGGTGTAGTTTCCCTCAATCTAAAGATTGTTTATTATCATGTTGAATATAGATTTAGTAACAGTAGTTAGTAACAGTAGTAGTAGAATAACAAGAACATTTCAGAGTTTCCACTGAGGCGCAAACCCCATTCCCCCATGCAAACATTTAATTTACCATCTGTTGTGCTACAAACCCTGTTGGATTCTTCATACTCTATTTGACTTCAGGTGCACCCCCCTGTCAGGGATCAATGGACTGAACCTTTAGACTAAAGGGGTGGGGCATTTTTGAAAGGCATACATGCATCGTTTGCCTTTATAAATGGTGGATATGCTTTTTTATTTATTTATTTTTTTTACATTTCTTAAAATTTAATGATTTCTTGTGGGTGTTGTCTTTGTTTTACCAAACTTGGGGGGTGGAAAAGAGGTGGGGGGTCTAGACCCCACCCCAACCCCCCTGGGATTTCCACCCAGTAGGTCGAGCACTGCCCCACCAGCCTCTAATGAGCCACTGTTAAGAAACATAAACATGCACTAGACTTTGTAATAAATGTGAATGGTGCAGATAGTTTGTTAGAATTAATCTGAACTCTGACACCGTCTTAATCTCGGCGTGCTATTCTGTTAACTTAAATCACAGCTTGTTCTGGATTGACACAAACTGTTATCACTTTGTTTCTTGCTCTTTCTTTAGCTTTACGTCGTCTCGCAGTACAAAATTCTTGTCAGTCTTCTGGGTAAGTTTTAAGCTACATATTTTTATCTCTGAAATCTGATATCATTTTTAAAGTTCATACCTAGATTTTGGGGTGGGGAGGTTTGTAAATGCCTTGAGTGTCTTGAAAGTCAAATACGTTTTTAGTTTTAACACGTGGCATGTCTTGTGAAGCCATTCATACAGAAATCTCCTTCCACTCTTCCAGAGAACAACATCCACGTCCATGACCTGCTGACTTTTCAGCAGATCACTGTGGTGTCTAAAGCCAAAGGAGCCACTCTCTTTGCTTGTGACTTACAGGTTTGTGACAGTCCGTGTTGCTGCAGCTTGCCCTTTGTTACCACTCGCTGGTGCAGCCGATAATGTTTAAATAAAGAAGTGAATTTTAATGAAACTGTCAATTTAATCACTGGCTGTGCATCTATAACTTATAAAGTTTGGAGTCTTAGCCCATTCAAGATGGCTGCCACAGCTAATTAACATCATTCAACAAACAAATGGTCATAACTCTATGAATTTTTAGATGTGCAAGTGTTTTGTTTTTTGATGAATTCTGATCAGACCGTAAAGATTTGATGACTAAAAATAGATGTGGAGGGGTGGGGGATTACCCGCTGTCTTTCATGCCTGAGTTTCAATCATCGTTTATGTTTAGAAATGAGGACGTTGCAGCTGTGTTAGTCAAATGTTGAAAATAATGTTTTGTACAATCTCGTGCGATAGTGTGATTTGTTAAAGCTTGAAATACATCTTATTGATGACTCGGCTACCATGTTGTTTACTATCTCTCTTTAGGACCTTGTAAATATTATAATTACTGGTACTTTTTTTTTTTACTTTTTTGGTACTTTATTTTGTACCCTTAATGCATGTTAGTATTTTTTTTTTTTTGTTGTTTTTAGCCAGTCACATTTGTTGTTCTCATCCTGAGCATTTCATTGTACTCGTTCAACATTTATTTAGACGGGTTAATCCCATTGAGCCTCGAGGACTCGGTTACAAATTTACTCTTAACTCTTTAAAGTTATTAAAATCTATTTAGTGATCCATGAGATGGGCAGAACAAATGTGTGTGCAGACACACAGATGCTGGCAAAAACATTTGTTGCAGGCTTTTTGGCAGCAGCCAATAAAACTATTTGTAATGTTCAAAAAGCGTTCAATACAAAAAAAAAAATTGTAATGTTTTAGTAGAAAATTGATGACATGCAGCATAAAACGAGTTGAAATGCTCCATTTGTATCAGTAGCTCTGCTTGAGTTTAATCATCTTGAAAACATTAGCATTAAGCATGAGCCAGCTTTGAACCATCGATAAAGCTACTTTCAAATGGCAAAATGTTTCATTTAATTTAGTTCACAAGAATGAAGTATCATGTTAAAGACTGTACTGAAATGAACTAAACCAGTGTTTGGGAAATTGGAAAGTGTCAAACTGTGGGGAAAAAAATATCAAATATACAAATTTGAATCAAATTACAATAAGTAGATTTCATTTTTGTGTCTAAAAATGTCATATCAGTATTTGTTGCAGTGATTTTTATTTAATTAATACACATATCAAACTGTTTTTATCTTTGGTTTTCAGCAAACCGGCCCAGGAGAGGAAAGGCTCAGAATGTGTGTGGCAGTGAAAAAGAAACTCCAGCTGTATTACTGGAAGGACAGAGAGTTTCATGAGCTGCAGGTAAAATTATTCTGAACATGTGAGTCACTGCACTGTGATTCAAGTTTATTTTTCTTACCGCTTGATATATGAAGGTCATTTTACTGTTTTATACTTCAGGGTGACTTGGCTGTGCCTGATATCCCCAAGTCCATGGCTTGGTGTGAAAATTCCATATGTGTGGGTTTCAAACGAGACTATTACCTCATTCGGGTATGTGTTACAGGAAAAAACACAAATCTTTGTTTGAACTTATCTTAACTTAGTGATATTAATTTTTGTTGCATTGGTTGGGCTTGATAATAATAAATAAATAATATTGATATTCCTGTTTATGATGCTTTTATTTGTGAAAACGACTCACCCTATGCCCTAAACGTAATATTCATGCATCTAAGATATTCTTAATCGTTAATTTCTTAACGCACTTTATCTACTAGATGGATGGCCGTGGCAGCATTAAGGAGCTCTTCCCCACTGGGAAGCAGTTGGAACCTCTGGTTGCCCCACTGGCTGATGGGAAGGTGGCTGTAGGGCAGGATGACCTGACTGTGGTACTGAATGAAGAAGGAACTTGCACCCAGAAATGCGCCCTGAACTGGACAGACATCCCCATTACTATGGGTAGGAAAAATAAATCTTAAGCCGTGTCTTCATTTTCTGAGGTCTGCTCCTGAACAACCCAGTGTGGGGTTTTTCTGTATAGTAGTCCCTTGTTTATCGTGGGGGATCCGTACCCTGAAGCCCCGCGATAAGTGAAAAACCGCAAAGTAGGGATACAGTAGTCCATGTTCAGGTACATTAAACTTTATATTAAGGCTTTAGAAACCCCTTCTCACACTCGTGGAATGTTCTGAACTCAAACCTACGTCATTGTAACAACATATGTTACTAAATTTTACTAGCTCTGCAGAACAGCAACAGCTCTGGTTCTGGTCCAACTCTGTTTTATTCCGACTCTGTTCGTTTCTGCAGACCTACCCTGCAGTGATGGAGCCCACAAGTCAGTCCTCTAAGCTCTTAAACCTACTAATTTTAACATGCAGTACTTGTATGTGCAGGAGCTACAAAATTTTACTTACCAGGCTCTGCAGTACAGGAGCAGCAGCTCGGTTCCAGTCCGACCCGATAGATGAAAAAAGTCTCGGTGCAGCATGACTGAAGCCCACCGCTCCATCCATCTTGATGTGTGTGTGCTGCTGCCCAGGATTTAATCCACCACCTCTGGCCCAGTCCAGACCAGCGCAACCAGAACCTGACTGAACCCTGCAGCTGTCTGTCGTCTGCAGCTCCCAGGATTCAGGTCACACTGATTCTGGATCAGCTGCAGCCCAGCTGCTCTGCAGTGAAGATACAACTTGAAGGACGAGTTCAGCTTCAGAATTATTTGTGACTTTTCTGCCAGTCCTGTGAACAGCAGAACTTACACAACTTCTGACTTTGCTGCAAAAACTCTCCCTCTATTTGCAGAAAGCAGTGGTTGAAAGAGCATTGTTGACTTCTGGGAAGTGATGCCTTCTGGGTAACGTAGTTCTTTAGACTGACAAAACAGCGAAGGCTTAATGAAAGAAAACTACAAAATGGCAACTCATTTTTTAATTTATTTTTTGGAAAATATTATGTACATGTACAGTACTTAAAAAAAACAAACACAATAGAGTGAATCCGCGATAAACAAGCCGAGAAGTAGCGAGGGTCTACTATATTATTGTTCTGATATTTACTTTGAAAAAAGAGTGATTGCAAAAATCAGAAGGGCATGCAAGAGCAGAAGAATCTTCCCTCAGTCCTCCAAGGAGAAGGAGTAACTTTCAGAAATCTAAGATGTTTTCCCAAAGAGCGTCAGCCATGACAGTTTTTTCTCTCAAGAGAAGTGACGTTTAAGTTTTATGCTTATAAACAGTAAAGCCTTATGCCACAAATCACAAGTTCAGATATCTGTCATATAAAAAACTATTTAGTTTTAAACAAATGTGTTTTTACCTCAGTGGAAAGTTTCTCTCGTTCAGCAAATTAATCGCCAGCTGCTGCCTGTTTTTAGTTTTTGTCATATTTTCCCCTCATCTAAATTATTTTTTCGCTCTTCGTGCTGTGACGTTAAAATATTCATGTTTCAGAGGATCAAACTCATTTCTTGTTAGTTTTCATAGGAAACTGTGGCAAACGTGCGTTCAAGCTCTCCAGTTGTTTAAAGGCTTTGTGTTCCTGTTCTTATTGGTATTTCAATGGGCACAAGATGAAGAGGAAATGCCACCAAGTGTTTTTTTTTTTTTTCATATATTTTACAATTTCTTCATCTTTAAGGGTTCATCATTGGTTTTGGCATGCAGCAGCAGCAGAGGTTGAGAGCTGGTCACTTTAGAGTTTACCTGACTGTTTTCACTTCTTCCTTAAAGGGAACAATTTAAGCTTTTTCCTGTCTGTTTTTGATCCCATACCTTAACAAAAACAACTAAATTGTTGTTTCTTGCAGAATTTTCTCTTCTATTAGCTTCAGGAACTTCAGTTCTCACTTAAGACAAACCAATGGCTGCAGTTATGAGGGGTTAAAACAGACATTGATTTTGATGTTTCCTGTTTTGTTTTGTGCCAGTTTTATAATGAGATTATTTCAAGTGAGTTTGTAGATGTTTACCAGCAGCACACGGATGTAAGATTTTTCTGTAACAGTTCTTTCACGTTTTCAGAGCACCAGCCTCCCTACATCATCGCAGTTCTTCCGAGGTACGTGGAGATCCGGACCTTTGAGCCCAGACTGTTGGTGCAGAGTGTGGAGCTGCAGAGACCACGCTTCATCACCTCAGCAGGGTGAGACAGGCAGTCCTTTTTAATGCGACACAAAACATTAAGTGGCTAAGTCTAGTGGAAATGACATGCAATGCATTGTATTTTAATGGGATAAGCATCAGAGGGGAGAGCGTCGTATCAACAAGAGTAGCAGTCGATGACCTTATGTAAAGTACAAGGAACGCTAAGACAAATCAGGCATATAACAAACTTACTCTGCCACACACAGGGTTGCAAATTGCTTTAGACTACCTGCTTAACCAAATTAACCTAAAGATTTAAAGAGGATTTCAGCTGTTGCTTGCTTCTATATAGATTTTTAATCTTAAATGACAGTGTTTCCCCTAGATAACTTGCCATGGCGGGGCGCTCATCTCGTCCGTGATTTTTGTCCGGGGGGGGTGGGGGTGTGTGTGTGAATGGAGACTCGTCCCAAGCTGTGCAGCGTGCTGTTTAAACCAACAGTTTTAGATTGGGGGGGGGGGGGGGGGAGACACAGAGACAGCCGCGCGCTGCTTGCACCGACAGGTTTTTTGGGGTCAGCGGGGGGAGAGACGGGCGCAAATCTGAGCCGTGCGCTGTTTGTACCGACAGTTTTCGAATGTCGGGGGTGCGTTCAGCGTGAGGGTTCAGCGTGAAGGAAGAGGCTGCCTTTAGCTTTTTAGCTAGTGCACCTGCATTGCGAGCCGTTAGTTTAGCGTTACGTCAGTGCAGACTGGTGGGTGGTGGGTGGGGCTCGGTAGACGGGGCGCTGGGTTCTGTTGACGGGGCGCCCCGCTTGTATAATGGTAGGGGAAACACTGTGGTGGAATGGCCGATGTCTGATATTGAACTTTAACACTAATATCGGCTGATACCATGCTGATAATATCGTGCATCTCTAGTTATCTTATTAAATTTCAAAGAAACGCACAGCGAGTCCTCCCTGAGCGCTCTCCCTCGGCTGCAAATCAGCTTTTGAAATGCAGCTGATTTGACTGTCAAAGTGCATTTATTAAGCAAAAGTTGGACTAAGACACACCTTTACTATAATTTTGAGCAAACAAATAATTGTTTTTAAGTGTTAATCTTGTTAAATTCTTGTTTAAGTCCTCGTGCACGCTCCTGTGGCCGCCATTTGACAGCCAATCGATTTTTGGCACACCGGCCCACATTTCCAGGTTGTCAGCGGTGACACAATAGATGTGACTTATATGGTGAAGCGTCGTATTTATGGATTTTTCCACTTTTTTAGACGTATTTGAACTGATGCGACATGTCCGGCGGAAAATACGGTAGAATATTTGCCTGTCTAGTATAATTTGTTGCTTTTATCATTTGACCAAGTTTCTTCTAATAAAGCTATTGTTGGTCCGTCATTAAAAAGAAAAGCACTTGCCTACGAACCACTCTGAACTTGTTTTCTATTGTTTTTACAGACCTAATGTTTTGTATGTAGCCAGCAACCACTTTGTTTGGCGCCTGGTGCCCGTGTCGATAGCCAGCCAGATCCGGCAGCTCCTTCAGGACAAAGAGTTTGAGCTGGCTCTTCAGCTGGCGGTGAGCGTCATCACAGATTTGATTTATTCGAGCATTGTTTTGCAGCAAAACAGGCAGATTTTAATGTTGAAAGAACTCTTTTCTTTCTTTGTCCTGTCAGAAGATGAAGGATGACTCGGATGGTGATAAGAAGCAGCAGATACATCGCATCCAGAATCTGTACGCCTTTAATCTGTTTTGCCAGAAGAGATTTGATGATTCTATGCAGGTGTTTGCCAAACTTGGCACAGGTAGGACTTATGCTCATTTAGTTTACACTAAATTTCTAAGCCGAGGCTAAATCTGTTGTCTTAATGGGTCAAACGGCGTCTGGGCAATGCATTTTTTAAAAACCTGCAACATGTTACATAAAACGATAACTACCTACAGTTTGAGGATTCTTTAAAACAATTTACACTTTTTGATTCTTTTTTCTCTTGGGAGTGGTGGCACAGAGGTTAGAGAAGGTGGGCCTGTGATCAGAAGGTCGCCGGTTCCACTCCCTATACCGACGGCATCAAAAATGTGGGTGGGCAAGTTGAAACACCCACACCTGCCCCCACCCTCATTTGCTCCACTCTAGGCACTTGAGCAAGGCTCTTAACCCCCACCATCTGCTCCCCTGGGCGCCCTAGATAGCAGCTCTCTGCTCCACAGAGGGCTGTGGCAGCTCGATGTTCTGTAGTTGTGTCAGGAAGGACATCCGACTTGAAAATAACTTCCAAGTCTTCGTGCGACTTAGTTTGCTGCGGCGACCCCTGAAGAAGGGAGCAGCCGAAAGAAAAAAGAAAAGAAAATGTTGTTTTTCTCTGAACAACCATTTCTTTATGGCTAATCGTCCTGATATTATTAATTATTCTGCTTAGTTTTCTCTTTTGTTGGTGTGATGTTTAATGAACACTGCTTAAACCAGTTGATCATATATTATGGTTAACAATACTTGTGTCTTAGAGCTTTTTGTAATGTAACATATTTGAAAAGTTGAGTTAATTAATTTCCTTTTTTGTGATTGGTAGATCCCACACATGTGATCGGACTTTACCCAGACTTACTCCCATCAGATTATCGCAAACAGCTGCAGTACCCCAACCCTCTGCCTACGTTATCCAGCGCCGAGCTGGAGAGGGCTCATCTCGCTCTCATCGATTACCTTACTCAGGTGTGTCATTTAACCTAGAAGATCAGAAAAATCCAAAAAGTTGGATCTTTTTCAAACTAATCAAAACTAAAAGATCACTGAAAAGGTTTATTAACTGAACTTTAGGGAAAGTTTTGTAAATCTAAAAAGCACAGTGTTGACCCAGACTCTGTTGTCGTCACAGAAACGCAGCCATCTTGTGAAACAACTGAACGACTCCGACCCTTCAACAACATCTCCTCTCATGGAGGGAACACCCACCATCAAAAGTCGCAAGAAACTCCTTCAGATCATTGATACTACACTGCTGAAATGTTACCTGCATGTAAGAACACAATCGTTTTTCGACTAAGTATTTGCGTGGGAACATTTAATAATTCTGCAGTAAACCACAGTTCTCTACATTTGTACCTGTTCATTTTACATATAAATGTCTGCTCATGGAAAGTTTTAACTCAAGTTGTCCAGCATGTTGGGCTCTGTCTCATGTTAGAGCATTAGAATAAAATCAATAAACCTAATTTGAGTAAAACATAACCCCAGGCAAAAATTATGGAATCACTCTGAATATGGTGCAGATGTAGCGATTGAGATAAACTAAACAACTCAGCAGCTTCCCAAACACTGTGTATAAACTTTGTCTTTAAACCCTGAAGCAGCTTTTCTACGGCTTGTTTGGGCCATGCGTCCACATAAGAGATTTATCAAATTCTCATCCTTGTTAGTGATTTGTTCATGCTCATATAAACATTTAAAGAAATGTCACATGGCCTTTCACTTCATATGGTTGTGTAATATTTGCTGCCTAATCAGCAGAGCTATTACCACAAACCATTGTCATGCCCGCGGGATATCCAAAGAGTTCAGGTTAAAAAAAATAAAAATCTGTGCTCTGGATTTCAAAAAATCTGCAGCAGATTATTTTAATGATAAACTACTTGTGTTTATAAAGTAAAACTTGACTTCGACTACCATATTTTCTGCCGTACATGTTGCACCACCATATAAGTCACATCAGTCCAAATATGTCTAATAAAGTGGGAAAAAACATAAATATGTCGCTTCGCCGTATACGTCGTCTCTATTATGCGTCACCGCTGACGCGTCGCGTTTGTGACGCGTCACGTTTGTGACACGTCAGCGGTGACGACCTGAATATGTGGGTCGTGTTGAGCCACAAATTGATTGGCTGCCAAATGGTGGCCGCAGGAGCATGCACGGGAGGACTTTAACAAGAAGTTAACAAGATTAACACTTAAAAACAATTATTTGTTTGACATTATAGTAAAGGTGTGTCTCAGTTGAACTTTTATTTAATAAACAAACTTTAATGGTCAAATCAGCTGCATTTCTCTGGGGCGGCGCAGCGAAATGAAGCTCCAGGCAAGTTGGATGAAGGTGGCAGATTATGGCGAGCAGATTGTGTCATTAATAGCCACTTTTACCTATTACATGACACAACGGCATGCCTTACTGCTTGAGTGCCATCTAGCACCTGAAAATGGTAGTGTGAAACATTTTCAGTCAGAATAAATGAAAACGGTCATATCTCAAGACAAAAACTGGTTTATAAATATGGGAAAAAATCCATAAATATGTTGCTTTGGCGTATAAGCCGCAGGGCATGCAAATTATGCAAACCACTGCGACTTATAGGCCGAAAAATAGGTTAAATACAAAGAGATGTTCTTAAATGTACGTTATTCTCATATGAGACCTGTTTTTATCCATGTTTTATTCAGACCAACGTGGCCCTCGTCTCCCCTCTCCTTCGTTTGGAGAACAACCACTGCCACATCGAGGAGAGCGAGTATGTTCTGAAGAAGGCGCACAAGTACAGCGAGCTCATTATTCTCTATGAAAAGAAAGGCCTGCACCAGAAGGGTAAGACTCAGACTGCTGGTTGATTAACTTCAACTCATTTTATTTATATACTGCCGGTTCACAGCAGAAGTCGTCTCAGGGCACAGCACAGAACATTCACGTACATTTGAAAATGACAATTATTTAAAGTTATCTAAGGAAGCCAGCAGGTTGTATCAGATCTTCACTTTGTCACCATCTTCCATCTTGATCAGCACATTGGCAACTGTGGATAAGAGCTGAACCAGGCGCAGGATTACTTGTTGGAAGAATAATCTCGATTTTTATGGGATGTTTTCAAATTTAACAGTGGTTACACTAGAAATTATTTTTGATCACCATTCTATTAGGTGACTGTCTCAACGTGGCACATGAGACTATACTATTATTATTACCAATACTTTTTTTTTTCAATAATTAAAAGAAAGTAGCTACTCATTACTAGGAAGATACATGACCGGTTTTATTTTAGAATTATTTCTATATTTATTTGATTATCAAAACGCTGATGTGATCCTTTGACTTGTTTTTGGCTGCTTCGTTTTAAAAAAGTGAGGTCCCTGTTAATAAAGTGTGTATTAAAATGTACAATCTGTGAACACCTATTTATCATTTCGAGCAGTGTGGATGGTGACGGATAAGCTAATCAACTGAATGTCTTTGTTTGTTTCTCACTTCCTGCCAGAACTTTTCTGCCTTTGTTATCCATCTGCTCATTACTTTTTAGCCCAAAAACAAGAGTGATTTTTAAACTAAATAGTTGTATAATCTTCAGCTTTAACCTCCTAGGATCTGGCATCCACATATGCAAGAGTTCGTGTCTTAGGAGGTTAATAAACATCAGTTGTCTGCAGCAGTAAGAAAGCAGCATCTTTAAGTTTGTGTCAGCTCAGTGAGCGTGCACAGTTTATTTCAGAAGAGGCCTCTTGTGGTGGTGGTTGTTTGGGTGCATGTTGGATTATTTTTCATCCAAGTTCTGTTGAAGAAAATGTGCAGCACATGACTATTAATGTCACATTGGCTCTTCCTGCTCTTCACTTGCTTTCCTTCACCCCCTCACACAGTTTGCTCTCTTGCAGCTCTGCAGGTGCTGCTGGACCAGTCGACCAAGGCCAACTCTCCACTGAAGGGTCATGAGCGAACAGTGCAGTACCTCCAAAGACTTGGTGAGGGTCAGTGCTCGGCCTATTGACAGGGCTTTTTAAAATTTGTCTGGTTGATTGTGACAGTGTGCCTTCTGTCATTTACTGGGGCAGCTGTGGCTGAGTGGTTAGACCAGTCCTCCTCCAATTCAAGAGTTGTGGGTTCGATTCTACCAGCAGTCACATGTCGAAGTGTCCCTGGGCAAGACACTGAACCCCTCGTTGCCTCCGATGTGTGTCCCATTGGTGTATGAATGTGATAATATTCAGATAAATCAGAGCGAAGCACTGATTATTCTTTGTATAGATCTAGTATAGAGCTGTATGAACGGGTAAGTGAGGCACAGATTGTGTTGTAAAGAGCTCCGAGTATCTTGATAAGATAGAAAGGTGCTATATAAGTACTGTCCAGTTACAGTTCTGCTTCCACTCCTAGAAATACAAGATGGTAAATGAATAGGAAAGCACTTCAGTCAACTTTAGTTTTTGTTGCACTATAGAAGGAACTGGCGTCTTCCCTTTAAAAGCCTCGCCTTCCTTCACTGGGTTTAAGCTCCTCTCCCAGTGCTCGTTTGTAACGTTAGATGAAAAGTCCAGTTTGCATTGAGTAACATGCTTTGTGATCTGCAGGATGTCTAGCACTGCTTAGATTTCAGGTTCTTAAATAGTACTTTTATAGTGTTTTTGTGTGTCTATGTGAATCCTTCCACCTCTACACACTTTTTTTAACCTTATGAAACCTTCTCATACAGGAGTGGAGAATCTGGGCATAATCTTTGAGTTTTGTCCCTGGGTGTTGAAGACTTGTCCTGAAGATGGCTTGAAGGTATTTAAACAAAATGCCACATAAGAAGGGTTACTTTATGTGCATGTATAGCCTTAGTATTTTCTGTCCAATCGAACAAGTTGAGTAAAAAAAATAAATCGTCTTTAATCCTCAAGGAGAAAACCAGTCCAGTCGTCTTGATTTATTAAGTATATCATGTCCTGAATGACGCTACATGAATCTACATTAGCATGTCTTCTGTCTCACATGTTCCCAGTACTGCAGTGACGGCAACCAGTAGAAACAGAAAGTAGTTGATTGTATTCTATGGTGACATTTGACAATTAAAACTTGGTTCATTATAAAAATGTTTCTTTCTTTTTAGATCTTCACCGAAGATCTGCCTGAGGTGGAGATGTTGCCCAGAGACCAGGTGCTGCAGTTCCTGAAAAAGGGCTTCGAGGAGCTTGCGATCCCGTATTTAGAGCACATCATTTATGTGTGGGATGAACAGGGCCCCGAGTTTCATAATGTGCTAATTCAGCTCTATTTAGGCAGGGTTCAGCACCTCATGAAACTCTACCTCAAATCACTGCCAGAAGGTAGTTCTCAAACTCTATGGTTCTTCAACTTAGATTTTTAGAATCCTTTTGATTTTAAATAGTGATACATTATTTATCAATTTAATAAGAAACAACAGCCACTTTGTCATTTAATTAAAAATAATTCAAATGCTCTGGTGTGGAGCTTTAATTCCATTTAATCAAAATACTCAACGTTTTTTTTTTAATTTTGTGAAAATAACCTTTTTTTTCTTTAGTATAAAATATTTTTTGTGATTTCATCATGACATACATACAAACATTTTCTAAATTTTAGAGCTTTTGCTTTGATGAAGTTTGTATCACATTTTTTTTTTTTTTAATCAGATACTTCTAGTGTCTTCTACTGCTCACCAGACGGAGTGTGATTGAAATTCACTTGGAATATAATATCCTGTGATCTATTGCAGCACTTTGCAATAATGTCGGTCACACTGATATTCAGATAAAAAATTTCAGTACTGGCATATTGTGGTATTATTGACTAATTGACAAATTACCAGATTTTAGTTAAGCCACTGTAATGAAATGTTTTGTGATTTTTCAGGGGTTCCTGCTGTTCCTGCAGGCCAGGAGAAAGGGGAACTGGGAGAGTTCAGAAACAAACTCTTGTCTTTTCTGGAGATTTCCACCAGCTATGAACCTGCCAGACTCATCAGTGACTTTCCATTTGATGGTATGAATTGACCCTCCTCTTAAGGTGTTTTCACACATGAACTCTTCAGGGTGATCAGAGGGAAGTGTACAGGTGCTGGTCATAAAATGAGAATATCATGAAAAAGTTGATTTCAGTAATTCCATTCAAAAAGTGAAGCTTGTATATTATATTCATTCATTACACACAGACTGATATATTTCAAATGTTTATTTATTTTAATGTTGATGATTTTAACTGACAACTAATGAAAACCCCAAATTCAGTGTCTCAGAAAATTAGAATATTAAGACCAATTTAAAAAAAAAGGATTTTTATAAATGTTGGTCAACTGAAAAGTATGAACATGAAAAGTATGAGCATGTACAGCATCAATACTTAGTTGTTGCTCCTTTTCTCTGGATTACTGCATCAATGTGTTGTGTCATGGAGTCGATCAGTCTGTGTCACTGCTCAGGTGTTCTGAGAGTCCAGGTTGTGGCCTTCAGCTCTTCTGAATTGTTGGGTCTGGTGTATCACATCTTCCTCTTCACAATACTCCATAGATTTTCTATGGGGTTAAGATCAGGTGAGTTTGCTGGCCAGTTAAGAACAGGGATACCATGGTCCTTAAAGCAGGTACTGGTAGCTTTGGCACTGTGTGCAGGTGCCAAGTCCTGTTGGAAAATTAAATCTGCATCTCCATAAAGTTCAGCAGCAATAAGTGCTCTAAAACTTCCTCATAGATGGCTGCATTGACTTTGGACCTCAGAAAAGTCAGAGATTCTTTATTGTCATTTGCACCTCATGTGGTACATGTGGTGGAGCGAAATTATGTACACAGGGTCCCAGTTACATCCAACAATAAAATGTATAAGAAAAACAGTAATAACATCTAAGATATGAACCAAGAAAAACATCAACTAAATATACACTAAGCACTCAACATAAAACAATGAACATCAGCACAAACATGAAAGCACAGTGGACCAACACCAGCAGATGACATGGCACCCCAAACCATCCAAGTAGGTATCTCTGCAGACAAATTCAGAAGGCATATCTGGAAGGCAACGTCTGATTGGACAATAAAATAATGGGTGTATCTGGAGGGTTACACATGATTCGATGATAGAAAAATGGGCATATCCTGAGAGCCACATCTGATTGGATGAAAAAAAAAAAACAAGCCATTTGTGTTAACCACAGACTTCGTCTTAAAACAAGGCATTATTGGCAGATTGTGTTAACCACAGACCTATTATGTTCATGGTGTTAACCAGTTCGACATTAGCGGCGTCTCCATAACTTCTCTTTCTGCCTCTCAACACAGAACTTCCAGTTACATTTCAAAATAAGAGCAACATAAATGTGTAGTGGGGAGGGCTAAATGTTTGTTTTTTAATACCTAGCCATAACATTAAAAAACAAAATCCGTTTTGGTTGTTGAACGCTGTGAAAACAGTTACAATTGATTCATAAAGAAAGAAAAATAAAGTAACCAAAATATTAATGATACTTAAACTGGCTTTGGGACAAAGGATGTTTCCTTTAACTTCACATTTTCTTGTTCAACCTTTTAAATCAGTCACTGCAGATGAGTGATTGTCAGTTTCTGTCAGATTTCTGCAACTGGAGCAGGTATTCTGTTTACTAGTTAACTTCCTCAGCTGTCTCACATTTTAAGGGTCGATCTTAATCCATGTTTCAGCTCCTTTCATAGATCTATCTCATAGAAGAACTTCTAAAGAGCAAATTTTGTTTTTAGCTTTTGTTTAAGGACATTATCTCGTCCTAGGACTCATGATCTTTAATTGAGACCAGACTTTTTGACAAATGGGAGCAGGTTTTGCTTCAGATGTTTCATATTTCATTGTACCCAGACCACACTCAAGACAAACTGTGTCAGGTGCAGCCTACAACCCAAGAACAAAAAAAAATCTTCCTGTTTGACAGCAGATATAACGCTGTTTCTTAGAAACCATAAGTTTTAAAGAAGAGCTGATGTAACTTGCATAAAGAGCCAGCAAATACAGTTACAGTTATACAGCCAATCATTGTTTGTCCTCTACAAACACATATTCTCCAGAAACGCCCACTTTTAGTCTGCAGCAAACCCATTCTCCAACTATCACTGGCTGTGGAAACTTGACACTGGACCTCAAGCAACATGGATCCTGTGCCTCTCCTCTCTTCCTCCAGACTCTGGGACCTTGATTCAAAGGAAATGCAAAATTTACTTTCATCAGAGAACTTAACTTTGGACCACTCAGCAGCAGTCCCAGGCGAGACGCTTCTGACGCTGTCTCTTGTTCAAGAGTGGCTTGACACAAGGAATGTGACAGCTGAAACCCTTGTCTTGCATACGTCTGTGCGTGGTGGTTCTAGAAGCACTGACTCCAGCTGCAGTCCACTCTTTGTGAATCTCCCACACATTTTGGAATAGGTTTTGTTTCACAATCATCTCCAGGATGCAGTTATCCTTATTGCTTGTACATTTTTTCTACTTTTTCTACCACATCTTTTCCTTTGCCTCTTTATTAATGTGCTTGGACACAGAGCTCAGTGAACAGCCAGCCTCTTTAGCAATGACCTTTTGTTTCTTGCCCTCCTTGTGCAAGGTGTCAATGGTCGTATTTTGGACAACTGTCAAGTCAAGTTAAAGGCCTTTGCAGGTGTTTTGAGTGAATTGGCTGATTAGAGTGTGGCACCAGGTGTCTTCAATATTGAATCTTTTCACAATATTCTAAATTTCTGAGATACTGAATTTGGGATTTTCATTAGTTGTCAGTTATCAACATTAAAAGCAATAAACATTTGAAATATATCAGTCTGTGTGTAATGAATGGATATAATATACGTTTCACTTTTGAATGGAATTACTGAAATAAATAAACTTTTTCATGATATTCTGATTTTATGACCAGCACCTGTAGACCGTTTGGAGAGTCAGAGTCAGAGTCAGAGTTTCTTTATTGTCATTCGCACCTCATGTGGTACATGTGGTGGAGCGAAATTATGTACACGGGGTCCCAGTTACATCCAACAATAAAATGTATAAGAAAAACAGTAATAACATCTAAGATATGAACTAAGAAAAACATCAACTAAATATACACTAAGCACTCATAACATAAAACATTGAACATCACCACAAACATGAACATGAGTCTGTGAGCAGATGTGCACGCATGAACACATCAACATTGAAACAGATCAGCAGCAACATGAAACAGATCAGCAGCAACATGATATGGTTTTTCACAGTGATTATTCTAGTTAGAGATTCATGAGTCTAACAGCCTCAGGGTAGAAGTTGTTCCTCAGACTAGTGGTTCTACACTTAATGCTCCTTAACCTCCTTCCTGAGGGGAGTGGGGCAAAAAGTGTGTGTGCTGGGTGGGTGGGGTCCTTCATGATGCAGGTGGCCCTCTTCCTGCATCTGGAGGTGTAAAGGATCTGCAGTTCTTTGTAGATGATTTCAAAGCAGAAGGTTTTGCCCTGAATATGCACTCCTGTAATGTAAATAAAGTGCAGAAGGACTCGTGTATGTTGTGAAAACCATTTTTATTTAAGACAGAAGTAGAGGAAACCAGATGAAGGGTTATGATGCGTGTTTACTGTAATCTAGATGTTTCTCACACTACTACATCAACATATTTTAATTGAGAGGTGGTTTTAATTCCTCTGCAGAAATAAATATGTATATATAATATACACACACACACATTATTTAGCCTTCAACTTAAATGTAAATATGCGTTTGTGAGCCATTATTACAAATCTACTATCATTTAACAAATATAAAGATGTTGAAGTGTTTTTATGTATAAAATAATTTACTACATTTAGATTTATTTTTGTGGTACTTGTAATAGTAAAGTAGTTATTTTTCAAGTATTCTGTATTTTCAGCCTGTAGCGTCTATTTATTGACCATGTTCTGCTCCCTCAAGGGTTGCTGGAGGAACGAGCTCTGCTTCTGGGGCGCATGGGTAAACACGAGCAGGCGCTCTTCATCTATGTCCACGTCCTGAAAGACACGCGCATGGCTGAAGAGTGAGTAAACGCACCATCAAGTCTTGCCTGATCTGGTGTAGCTTTCCAGATGTGTGTAGATGTTGAGCTGATTTTTTTTTTTTTTATTATTCTAAAAGAGTGAGAAATTGTAAATCAGTTTCTCTTTTTGTGTTTAGCTTGAAAAAAATAGTTGTAAAATAGATAAACATGCTCAAAGCATTGTGCAGAGCTTGGTGGTTCTGTTGGTCATAAATGAGTTAAATCTTAAAAATAAGTGGAAACTGTTGATTCAAGATGGCTGCTTATGATAATTTACATTAGCAAACTCAAAAAAATGTCTAACTCAGTCACTTGTAGCTGAGCATTTTCTCCAATACATTTTTAAAAATCTTGCAAGATCTTGCTATATTGTATAAGTTCATGCACAATATTCTTTACAGGAAACCGCTGTAACTTGGTTCCTTCTCACAGAGATGATCTTCGTTTAAAACTCTGACAATCAAGACAGCGGGCGATATGCAGCAATGCCAGGCTTGAATTTTTCTCTTCTGCTCTTTTTGCAGATACTGTCACCGACATTACAACAGTCTGGTTGAAGGAAATAAAGATGTAAGTAGCTTTCTGTCTGCGTTCATTTAGTTCAGGTTAGGTTTATTTGTCATACGCAAAATCAACACAAGGTCAACAATGCAATGAAATGCTTCGAATGAGAAGAACCGTCTTGACTATCCCAAAAAAACAACAACCAAGAAATACAAAAGCATGCAGCAAAAATACTACTAAGAATAAAAATAGTAATTTAGTGTGTTGCTCTACTTTAAAAAATCCCTCTGTTGTAGCTATACTATAGTTTTAAGTATTTATTTTTTAGCACTTTTCATTTTGTACATTCTGTAACCTCCTAAATATTAGTTTCTGAAGTGCAACTCTGACAAAATATTTATTTATTTTACCAGAAAAATATAATTTTTTAATTTACCTAAATGAAAATGATAGCAAGTATCTCTGTATTTTGCTTTAAATAAATGTTGCTCGAGTCTGAAATACAGCAACTGTAAAAGTTACAGAGAAGTAGTCAGCAGAAAGTTTAACTTGTGCTTCTGAATAAAGAAATAAAATTCATGAGCCATTCTTTAAACAAATGTTTGGAATTGAATTTAAATGTTCTGTATTTGTTCTATGTGTTAATGTCTATTTCTATTCTTTTATTATCCCACCTGTGTTGTTCTTTTTAAACATTTTCTGTTCATCACTCCTGTGTCGGTGCTGAATTAAAAGTGAACTTGCTGTAATTGTCTCTATGGTTAATTTTTTCATCTGAGATATAGATGTGACCATTTAGACATCCTTCCTGTGTGACTCTGCCCTCTAGGTGTATCTGTCTCTGCTGAGGATGTACCTGTCACCTCCTGATGCCCACTGCTTGGGCCCCATCAAGATGGAGCTTTCTGAGCCTCAGGCCAACCTGCAGGCGGCTCTGCAGGTCCTGGAGCTGCACCACAGTAAACTGAACACCACCAAGGTAAGCAATGACTCAGCGTTTTTTTATTTTAATGGGGCTTAAGAGCAGTTTGTTCTGGTGATGCAGTAGTCCCTTGTTTATCGCTGGGATCAGTACCCTGAAGCCCTGCGATAAGTGGAAAAACCACTCAGCTCTCTGCCTCCAGCTGCTCTCTGCCTCCAGCTGCTCTGTGCCTCCAGCTGCTCTGTGCCTCCAGCTGC